GTAAGCAGGTATGCTTGTGTAAGCAGGTATGCTTGTGTAAGCAGGTATGCTTGTGTAAGCAGGTATGCTTGTGCAAGCAGGTATGCTTGTGTAAGCAGGTATGCTTGTGTAAGCAGGTATGCTTGTGTAAGCAGGTATGCTTGTGCAAGCAGGTATGCTTGTGTAAGCAGGTATGCTTGTGCAAGCAGGTATGCTTGTGTAAGCAGGTATGCTTGTGTAAGCAGGTATGCTTGTGTAAGCAGGTATGCTTGTGTAAGCAGGTATGCTTGTGCAAGCAGGTATGCTTGTGCAAGCAGGTATGCTTGTGTAAGCAGGTATGCTTGTGCAAGCAGGTATGCTTGTGTAAGCAGGTATGCTTGTGTAAGCAGGTATGCTTGTGTAAGCAGGTATGCTTGTGTAAGCAGGTATGCTTGTGTAAGCAGGTATGCTTGTGTAAGCAGGTATGCTTGTGTAAGCAGGTATGCTTGTGTAAGCAGGTATGCTTGTGTAAGCAGGTATGCTTGTGTAAGCAGGTATGCTTGTGTAAGCAGGTATGCTTGTGTAAGCAGGTATGCTTGTGTAAGCAGGTATGCTTGTGTAAGCAGGTATGCTTGTGTAAGCAGGTATGCTTGTGTAAGCAGGTATGCTTGTGTAAGCAGGTATGCTTGTGTAAGCAGGTATGCTTGTGTAAGCAGGTATGCTTGTGTAAGCAGGTATGCTTGTGTAAGCAGGTATGCTTGTGTAAGCAGGTATGCTTGTGTAAGCAGGTATGCTTGTGTAAGCAGGTATGCTTGTGTAAGCAGGTATGCTTGTGTAAGCAGGTATGCTTGTGTAAGCAGGTATGCTTGTGTAAGCAGGTATGCTTGTGTAAGCAGGTATGCTTGTGTAAGCAGGTATGCTTGTGTAAGCAGGTATGCTTGTGTAAGCAGGTATGCTTGTGTAAGCAGGTATGCTTGTGCAAGCAGGTATGCTTGTGTAAGCAGGTATGCTTGTGTAAGCAGGTATGCTTGTGTAAGCAGGTATGCTTGTGTAAGCAGGTATGCTTGTGTAAGCAGGTATGCTTGTGTAAGCAGGTATGCTTGTGTAAGCAGGTATGCTTGTGTAAGCAGGTATGCTTGTGTAAGCAGGTATGCTTGTGTAAGCAGGTATGCTTGTGTAAGCAGGTATGCTTGTGTAAGCAGGTATGCTTGTGTAAGCAGGTATGCTTGTGTAAGCAGGTATGCTTGTGTAAGCAGGTATGCTTGTGTAAGCAGGTATGCTTGTGTAAGCAGGTATGCTTGTGTAAGCAGGTATGCTTGTGTAAGCAGGTATGCTTGTGTAAGCAGGTATGCTTGTGTAAGCAGGTATGCTTGTGTAAGCAGGTATGCTTGTGTAAGCAGGTATGCTTGTGTAAGCAGGTATGCTTGTGTAAGCAGGTATGCTTGTGTAAGCAGGTATGCTTGTGTAAGCAGGTATGCTTGTGTAAGCAGGTATGCTTGTGTAAGCAGGTATGCTTGTGTAAGCAGGTATGCTTGTGTAAGCAGGTATGCTTGTGTAAGCAGGTATGCTTGTGTAAGCAGGTATGCTTGTGTAAGCAGGTATGCTTGTGTAAGCAGGTATGCTTGTGTAAGCAGGTATGCTTGTGTAAGCAGGTATGCTTGTGTAAGCAGGTATGCTTGTGTAAGCAGGTATGCTTGTGTAAGCAGGTATGCTTGTGTAAGCAGGTATGCTTGTGTAAGCAGGTATGCTTGTGTAAGCAGGTATGCTTGTGTAAGCAGGTATGCTTGTGTAAGCAGGTATGCTTGTGTAAGCAGGTATGCTTGTGTAAGCAGGTATGCTTGTGTAAGCAGGTATGCTTGTGTAAGCAGGTATGCTTGTGTAAGCAGGTATGCTTGTGTAAGCAGGTATGCTTGTGTAAGCAGGTATGCTTGTGTAAGCAGGTATGCTTGTGTAAGCAGGTATGCTTGTGTAAGCAGGTATGCTTGTGTAAGCAGGTATGCTTGTGTAAGCAGGTATGCTTGTGTAAGCAGGTATGCTTGTGTAAGCAGGTATGCTTGTGTAAGCAGGTATGCTTGTGTAAGCAGGTATGCTTGTGTAAGCAGGTATGCTTGTGTAAGCAGGTATGCTTGTGTAAGCAGGTATGCTTGTGTAAGCAGGTATGCTTGTGTAAGCAGGTATGCTTGTGTAAGCAGGTATGCTTGTGTAAGCAGGTATGCTTGTGTAAGCAGGTATGCTTGTGTAAGCAGGTATGCTTGTGTAAGCAGGTATGCTTGTGTAAGCAGGTATGCTTGTGTAAGCAGGTATGCTTGTGTAAGCAGGTATGCTTGTGTAAGCAGGTATGCTTGTGTAAGCAGGTATGCTTGTGTAAGCAGGTATGCTTGTGTAAGCAGGTATGCTTGTGTAAGCAGGTATGCTTGTGTAAGCAGGTATGCTTGTGTAAGCAGGTATGCTTGTGTAAGCAGGTATGCTTGTGTAAGCAGGTATGCTTGTGTAAGCAGGTATGCTTGTGTAAGCAGGTATGCTTGTGTAAGCAGGTATGCTTGTGTAAGCAGGTATGCTTGTGTAAGCAGGTATGCTTGTGTAAGCAGGTATGCTTGTGTAAGCAGGTATGCTTGTGTAAGCAGGTATGCTTGTGTAAGCAGGTATGCTTGTGTAAGCAGGTATGCTTGTGTAAGCAGGTATGCTTGTGTAAGCAGGTATGCTTGTGTAAGCAGGTATGCTTGTGTAAGCAGGTATGCTTGTGTAAGGTGCTTGTGAAGCAGGTATGCTTGTGTAAGCAGGTATGCTTGTGCAAGCAGGTATGCTTGTGCAAGCAGGTATGCTTGTGCAAGCAGGTATGCTTGTGCAAGCAGGTATGCTTGTGCAAGCAGGTATGCTTGTGCAAGCAGGTATGCTTGTGCAAGCAGGTATGCTTGTGCAAGCAGGTATGCTTGTGCAAGCAGGTATGCTTGTGCAAGCAGGTATGCTTGTGCAAGCAGGTATGCTTGTGCAAGCAGGTATGCTTGTGCAAGCAGGTATGCTTGTGCAAGCAGGTATGCTTGTGCAAGCAGGTATGCTTGTGCAAGCAGGTATGCTTGTGCAAGCAGGTATGCTTGTGCAAGCAGGTATGCTTGTGCAAGGCAAGCAGGTATGCTTGTGCAAGCAGGTATGCTTGTGCAAGCAGGTATGCTTGTGCAAGCAGGTATGCTTGTGCAAGCAGGTATGCTTGTGCAAGCAGGTATGCTTGTGCAAGCAGGTATGCTTGTGCAAGCAGGTATGCTTGTGCAAGCAGGTATGCTTGTGCAAGCAGGTATGCTTGTGCAAGCAGGTATGCTTGTGCAAGCAGGTATGCTTGTGCAAGCAGGTATGCTTGTGCAAGCAGGTATGCTTGTGCAAGCAGGTATGCTTGTGCAAGCAGGTATGCTTGTGCAAGCAGGTATGCTTGTGTAAGCAGGTATGCTTGTGTAAGCAGGTATGCTTGTGTAAGCAGGTATGCTTGTGTAAGCAGGTATGCTTGTGCAAGCAGGTATGCTTGTGCAAGCAGGTATGCTTGTGCAAGCAGGTATGCTTGTGCAAGCAGGTATGCTTGTGCAAGCAGGTATGCTTGTGCAAGCAGGTATGCTTGTGCAAGCAGGTATGCTTGTGCAAGCAGGTATGCTTGTGCAAGCAGGTATGCTTGTGCAAGCAGGTATGCTTGTGCAAGCAGGTATGCTTGTGCAAGCAGGTATGCTTGTGCAAGCAGGTATGCTTGTGCAAGCAGGTATGCTTGTGCAAGCAGGTATGCTTGTGCAAGCAGGTATGCTTGTGCAAGCAGGTATGCTTGTGCAAGCAGGTATGCTTGTGCAAGCAGGTATGCTTGTGCAAGCAGGTATGCTTGTGCAAGCAGGTATGCTTGTGCAAGCAGGTATGCTTGTGCAAGCAGGTATGCTTGTGCAAGCAGGTATGCTTGTGCAAGCAGGTATGCTTGTGCAAGCAGGTATGCTTGTGCAAGCAGGTATGCTTGTGCAAGCAGGTATGCTTGTGCAAGCAGGTATGCTTGTGCAAGCAGGTATGCTTGTGCAAGCAGGTATGCTTGTGCAAGCAGGTATGCTTGTGCAAGCAGGTATGCTTGTGCAAGCAGGTATGCTTGTGCAAGCAGGTATGCTTGTGCAAGCAGGTATGCTTGTGCAAGCAGGTATGCTTGTGCAAGCAGGTATGCTTGTGCAAGCAGGTATGCTTGTGCAAGCAGGTATGCTTGTGCAAGCAGGTATGCTTGTGCAAGCAGGTATGCTTGTGCAAGCAGGTATGCTTGTGCAAGCAGGTATGCTTGTGCAAGCAGGTATGCTTGTGCAAGCAGGTATGCTTGTGCAAGCAGGTATGCTTGTGCAAGCAGGTATGCTTGTGCAAGCAGGTATGCTTGTGCAAGCAGGTATGCTTGTGCAAGCAGGTATGCTTGTGCAAGCAGGTATGCTTGTGCAAGCAGGTATGCTTGTGCAAGCAGGTATGCTTGTGCAAGCAGGTATGCTTGTGCAAGCAGGTATGCTTGTGCAAGCAGGTATGCTTGTGCAAGCAGGTATGCTTGTGCAAGCAGGTATGCTTGTGCAAGCAGGTATGCTTGTGCAAGCAGGTATGCTTGTGCAAGCAGGTATGCTTGTGCAAGCAGGTATGCTTGTGCAAGCAGGTATGCTTGTGCAAGCAGGTATGCTTGTGCAAGCAGGTATGCTTGTGCAAGCAGGTATGCTTGTGCAAGCAGGTATGCTTGTGCAAGCAGGTATGCTTGTGCAAGCAGGTATGCTTGTGCAAGCAGGTATGCTTGTGCAAGCAGGTATGCTTGTGCAAGCAGGTATGCTTGTGCAAGCAGGTATGCTTGTGTAACATGTTTGTCATCCCCACCTCACTCTCCCCTTCTTCCTCCTGCACTCCGGTTTTGAGACGTTTCAAAACTTTTGAGACGTCTCTCGTCGCAGGTAAGCTTGTGTAAGACGTTTGTCGTCCTCACTCTCCCCTTCTCCCTCCTGCACTCCACATTCAAAGCTCTCCACCTAAGCTTGTCTTGTGAACCCTCAATCTTGTCATACCTTCGCTCAACCCCCATCTGCTCCCATTCTCCCAGCTCTCATCACCTTGGCTCTCCTCCATCGCTCCGGTGTGCTCCTCCCCGCCCTCGCCCTCCCCTTCTCCCTCCTCCACTCCGCTCTCAAGGCCCTCCCCCCTCCTCCGGCCGCCTCACCCTCTCTTCTTCCCACGGATCCTGCTGCTGCTGGGGAAGGAGGGGCGCAAGGGAATGGGGTGGGGGGAACGCATGAGAGTGGGGCAATTTGGGCCACTCCTGGTGGTGGGTATGCAGAGGGTATGGGTAAAGGGAAAAGGGGAAAGAAAGGGAGGAAAGAAAAAGGGAAAGGGAAGATGGAGGAAGGGGATGAGGAGGTGGAGGAGGAAGGGATGGAGGATGGTGGGGAGGGAAGTGGGGGTGAAATGGGGGGAAGGCGGTACGGCAATAGTGTGTGTATATTTGTGGATGGTGGAAGGAGAGGGTCCACATTGGCTGTTGGACCGGGAATGGATGAGGCTCCTGGTTCCGGGCTCCACAGCCCTTCGGCTATCCACTGTGCATCATCGACATCTGCACCGTCCATGTCAGCACCATCAACATCTGCACCGTCCATGTCAGCACCATCAACATCTGCACCGTCCACGTCGACACCGTCACTATCCGCATCAACATAGGCACCAGCAGCATCGTCGTCATCATCTTGAAGACTATCCTCATCCCCATTCTTACCCGTCCATCAACTTGATCGCTCCCAAACAGGATGAGTTTGACATTGGGTAGTACTTAAAGGGTCCGTAGATGCGCCTACATGCAAAATGTTGCTTGGGGCAAATATTACGATTATACCGTTGATAAACCAATGCTCTGGTTTGTTATGCCATATGAGCTTTCTCATATCATGGTTTGTTTGACAATATGGCCATGAGGAGTACATCATACTGCGCAATATACTTAGCTTATTTCATAAAGAACCAGGTTAGTGAAATGTTGAAGTGCTTCATTTACTCCTTGGCTAAAAGTCCAATGTGGAAATTTTATACAAGGTTGACGAACACTTAATCACGTTTTTCGTCATTACAGCGAAGCGGGGAAAAGTGTAGCGCTTCTCGAGTCCCAATTTTGTCGCTCCCCTGCCCTACCTGCTGCCCAGGTTCGAGCGTAGCTGATTCTATGTGGTCACACACTCCCGCTATTCTCTCTAGGCTTTGAGGTTAGGTTCGGTAGACCGTATAGCGTTAGCCATAACTCTCGTCGGCTCCGAACCTGACCTATTTCCCGCCTTCCAAATCTCGTTTTCAAATCTCGGGTCGCACTCAGGTATTCCCGATTGCGGCGGACGCTAGAGCAATACGCGCTTCCAAACGACTCCCCTCGCTGGCACATAAGATACGCGTGGTATACCCTGAGTCGTTCCTGTAAAAATGGAAACTCGTGCGACTTCCCGATACCCTCGAGAACAGAAGACGATACCGCCAAGGGCTCCAGTCATCATTGCAAGCCCTCGCGCAAGCCCACCCCACTGGCGTTGCGAAGCAGCGACCATCGGCGGGTCCCCCCTGCTTGTCTGGCTCCCCCAGCCACCCGTCGCATTCCCTCGCTCGCTCGCTCTCACCCGCTTCTCACTCGACACCTGCTACACCCACCAGACAGGAATATTATAAATATGTCGCTGGTGTTTCTCATTGATTCATCGGTCTCGACTGAAGCTGCTCACTGATCTTCTTTCTTTGCCCTCGAGTTCCTACCGGCTCGAGTTCCCAGCTGTACACCTCTTGTCAAGTGCTCGGGAACTCTGCATTCTCATCGCGAAAGCTTAGCCGTAACCTTCCAACTCTTCGTACGTCAGCAATATGGCCTGCATCGGTGCTGAGAGCGCCTGCGTGGACGTCGATGCTCTGTTCTCGAGCTGCTGGGAGCAGAATGACTCCCTCACTCGCTTCGTTTGCAGCATGATCGCTACTCCACGCCTGGTAAGAATAAAATTTTCTCAGCCGTCGCTTTCGTTTCTGCACATTCGACGTGTTGCATGCAAGAACCTTTCTTCTGATTGAGAATTTTTCCAGCACTTACTGAAATAGTTACTAATCTTCCATTATTGATCTCTGGTTCTTCGTGCAGGCCGTCTTCAATTGGATCAGGCGGTGCAAGCAAGCAGCAGTGGAGGTGCAGTCGGTTTCCGCTGCTCCTGTTGTCGCGCTTCTTGAAGAATCTGCGTCAGCAGATGCAGAGCTTGAAACCGTTGCTGTGGCTGTGGCTGTGACTGTGGATGCTTCAACTGTGACTGCTGCCGTTTCGACGCAGGCTGAGAAAGCTGATGAAGCAGAGGAAGCAAAGAAATCGGTGGAACCGAAGAAAAAAGCCTCTTCGTTCCTGGAGCTGCTTGCTCAAGAAGACTCAGTTGCCTCTCTTACCTCCTCAGTTGACTCAGTTGCTAAGATTGCTGCCTCCTCAGCCAAGGTTGCAGCCTGGTTGGGTGTGAAAACCGGATCAGAGCAGGATGGGTTGTCGGAATCAGAGGCACAGCAGGGTGGGAAGGTGTTAGCAGAGGTTCGCAGCGGGTGGTACAGCTTGAGTCGCAATGAGAGCAGCTGCAGCAGCCGCAGTGCGTGTCTCATCCACCTCTCTTCGGATTCCTCCTCCTCCTCCTCCTCCTCTGCTGGTAGCCTGTGCAGCAGCCCCAGTGGCTTGATGAAGGAGGTTGCTGGTTTGAAGAGGGGGATTGGCCGAGGTGTTTCCTGCACTGGGAAGGGATGCAGCATTTCCGCCCTCTGCTCCTCGTCCTCTGCTGATCATTCTGGTTTGACCCCCTCTGACTTGCCTCTGGCAGCTGAGAACAACTCAGTGAATAGAGGGATTGTTACGGGTGTTTCCAGCAGTGGTAAGGGATGGAGCACGGAGGTGAAGGGGTTTGGGAAGGCAGAGGAAAAATGGGTTGTCTCAAACCAGTTGTATGGGTATGATGATGATGGGGAGGAAGTGGAAGAGGAGGAGGATGGGAGCAGCAGACAAAGGTCCAAAGTCCGTGGGGGTGGAACAATGTGCTATATGAATCAGGTGTACATGGATGAGGAAGAGGAGGCGGAGAGGGAGGCATTGGCAGCATCAGGCATCTCGCTTGGCATCGGCAGGTTTGGAGCCAGGAGGAGAATTACGGGCTCCAGCAGCCGAGTCACTCTCCACCGAATCAGTGGCGCACTGAGACAATATTAGGGGAAAAAACCAACTTTTGCTGTAGCAGCTGAGGCTGGAACCAGAGGCAACTGAACAGCACACGTACAGGTAGGATACCATACCATAGCAGCTGGTGTGGCTGGAACCAGAGAATCTGGACTGCCACTTGTGTACAATGTAAATTTTGTGAAACTAGATGACTTCCTTATTTTTTTCTATGTAGGTCCATTCATGTCTGCTGCTAAGAATCAATTGAGGAACAAAACATGTGTAGTATTTATTTAGCAGCATCATAGGTTTTCAACCATCCCAGGGGTCAACCAAGTACGGTACAACAGCACACAGGGGAGCTCCTCTGAAACCCGCACAAAGCGTGCATGCTTTTGAATAAGTATTGTTATGTGTGCCTTTAGATGAATTAGGTTAAGATAACAACCTCTCATTCGACCATTTAACCATTACAACCTGCTCCGCATCTTCCTCTGCCTCCCTGTCCGACTCCTCCCTACCGTGTGAATCTATTCCTCCTCATCCTCATCACTCGCCCCCCAGCCTCCGTCATCATCCCTGTCATCTTTGCTGTCTAAGCCTGCTCATGGTGGATATTCCAGTGCTCCCTTTTAAGGCGCCTAAATAAACGGGTTACTCCTCTTCTTCCTCATCACTCGCCCCCCAGCCTCCGTCATCATCCCTGTCATCTTCACTGTCCAAGCCATACTCATGGTGGATATTCCAGTCCGCACCATCACTCTCTGCACCCTCCTCTGCTACCCTGTCCGCCTCCTCTTCCCCTTCCACCGCCGCTTCTCCTCCCTCCTCACCCTCTGCCACCTCCCCTCCTCCTTCCTCCTCTTCCTCTTCATCCTCCGCATCCTCCTCACCCACCCTTGCAGGAATCCCCCTCCTGTCTTCCCCTGAAAGCAAAGGGCACTCGCTAACATCAAAATCGCGCAATGTCGGAATTCTCCGGATACAAGACGGCAGGCGAGCCAGCTTGTAGCACGCAGTTACCTCCAGCACCTTCAGCTTAGGCAGCTTAGAGAACGACTCAGGCAAACTGCGGACATGCTTCAGACCCAGAAGCACCAACTCTTTGAGGGAAGAAAGCTTCCAGAAATTTCCTGGAAAAGTCGAGATCGCAAGCTTGGTGAGGGTACAGAACTGTAACTTGGACAGATTCCCGAAGGATCCTGGAAGTTTCTTCAGCTTGTAGCAGTCAATAATCTCCAGCGTCTCGAGCACTTTCAGCTGCCCGAGAGACTCGGGCAGCTGCTGTATTCCCAAGTAGCGCAGTTGCAAGACCTTCAGCCCTGACAGCCCTCCCAAGCTTTCCGGCAGTGCCTCTTCGAGGCGAAATCGATCCGGAGCCTTTTTAGGTGCGAGAGTCGAGAGATAGACTCAGGGAGTGCTACAAGGTTGTCCATTTCTATGAGTTTCAGCTTCGTTAGAGAGGATAGCTGGCCAAGCGACGGACCAAGGGAAAGGTAAGGGAGAGACTTTAACTTGAGGATTCGAACGGATGGAAGCAGTTTCCTGCCGCTGCCGATGCTGCTGCTGCTGCTGCTGCTGCTGCTGGCGGTGCTGTTGAAAACTACCGAAGATCCCTTGGCAGTGCGTTTCAGCACTATCTCATCTCCTAGCAACGCGCCAATCCCACCACACACCCGCACCTCCAACACCCGCACTCGAGGCAGCTCAACCAGCGACGCAGGGAGATGCTTCAAGCCGTCCATCCGTGCGATCTTGACCACCTCGAGCGCCTCCAGCCGTCCAGGCTGGTGAGTGAAAAGACGCCTGAGAAGGAAGCAGGAAGGGCAGCCAGGCGAGGCATGTCTTCAAGCACGAGCTCCTTCAGGCTTGTCAAGGAGCAGAAGCCGTCTAGTAGGGTGCCTCTGAAGCGTTTAGCTTGCATGATCTTGAGGGTTTCGAGGGACGTCAGGGCGGAGAAAGACGGAGGAAGGTGGGTGAGAGACGAGCAGTGCTCCAGATGCAGATAGCGCAACCGCTTCATACCGCTCCCCATTTCATCTGGCAGCACCGTGAGGTGCGGGCAAATGTTGATCTCCAGGTGCTCAAGAGAAGATAGCCGGGATAGGGTGTTGGGAAGTTGCTTCAGCTGCCTACACTGCACTATTTTTAGCTCCCGGAGAGCTGTCAACTGCCCGACGGATTCGGGCAGGCCTGTGAGCTGGCCAAGGCTGTTCAGGCGCAGCTTTTCAAGAGCAATCAGCTGCCCGAAGTCCTCGGGCAGTGACGGCAGGTGGTAAAGGTTTTTGAGGGAGAGTTCTTGGAGCGTGGTAACCAGGGTGATGGAGTCAGGAAGGATTGTGAGCTCATTCAACTCCAGCACGAGTGTCTGTAGCTTGGACAAGCGGCCAATATCGTCAGGCAGAACTGATAATTGCGAGATGTGAAGGGTGAGACTGGTGAGCGAAGGCAGGCGGAAAAGAGGATCCGGCAGAGACGTGATGTCGCTGCAGCACTTGATAACGAGAGTCTTGAGCTGCCATAGATGCTCCAGGGCCTCGATCAGGCCGCGCAATCCCGTCACTTCTTCCATAATGAGGGTTTCGAGCGCCCACAGTCGACGAAAATTGACGGGTGACGGATGTGAGAAGTTGAAACCTCGAAGCTCCAGGACAGCGAGAGAAGCAAGCTTGGTGAGAGAGGCCGGCAGCTGCAACATCATCGAGCAGTGGCTGACGGAGAGGCGGCTCAGACTGGCAAGCTGACCGAAGGATTCTGGAAACGACGCCAAGGAGCGGCAACCGTGCAGCTCGAGCGACGTTAAGAGAACTAAATTGCCGAATTCTTGAGGTAAAGTCTCGAGACGGGAGGCGTGCAGCACGATGCTTCGGAGAGACTGCAAGGAGGTCAGTGTGTCGGGAAGATGCGTGACGCTTGCCTCGAGATGCAGGTTCCTGAGAAGTGTGAGTCGGTCGATCGACGGAGGAATGGCAGCACGCTCTGAACACTTCAAATGGAGATCTTCGAGCAGGGTACACCTCTCGAAGAGAAACGTCAGGCTCTTCTCGCTTACGCCTGTGCGTCTGCATTCGCGTCCCATTGGTTCGACACTCAGCTCGGTCAGATGAGGACACACGTCAGCGAGGCGAGAGAATAGAAGATTTGACGCCGCTGAGGTGAGGCTGCCATAGGAAAGAGCTATTTTTTTTATGTTAGTGTACGACGACAGAAGTTGAACGAACCGACGCGGATCCATGAGGAGGTTTGACGGCAAGTTGACTTCTGGCTGCAAGCGGTACGCGATGCGACGCCATTGCCTGCTGACAAGTGCGTGCTCCAGCTGACCATCAGGTCGAACCAGAAAACACAGAATCTGAGACAGCAGCTCCTCCGGTAGCCGTTGGATAGGCGATCCGACTGGCATTTTGTAACGAGGGACTAACACAAGACTAATGGCTGTCTAAATAAAGTTGAGTCTGCCTTTCTATAAGCTAACACCGCAAACAAGCTAGACTAGTGAGTCTATAGGAAGCTCGAACAGTCAGACAACAAAGAGCGTGGTGAGGACTAGTTGAGGGGCATTCCAATCTCGAGGCATTCCAATCTCGAGGCATTCCAATCTCGAGGCATTCCAATCCCGAGGCATTCCAGTCACGAGACACTTGAGCTTGTCAATGACACCGCACTGCACCGCTCGTTTCGTCAAATCGTTCCCGCCAATATATCGCACGAACAATAGGTTTGCGAAAAACAAAACAAGAGACGACCACGCAAGGCGCAACCTGGCGAACTCCCTTTCTGGCCCTGCGAGATTCGTGGCCCCTCTAGGTGTGTGTGTGGGTGTGAGTGGAGCGCGCATCGGGGACGGTCACCCAATTGTACCCGTTTGTGTGCGCGTTTCCTAGTTAATCGGTCAACCATACCGCAAGCACCATTTTGCTTATATTTTTTCAACACTTTAGACTAAGGGTACATTCCGCGCTGGACATGTCCCAATCGAAAGTGTCTCAATCGTTTCTACCGCACTGCATCGTATTACACCAAATTGCACCCTAGTTTCGAAATTTTCGCGTCTCTGGTTTAGTTCGGTTCGGAGCGGTACACTCGATTGGGACACATCGATTGGGACAGTGTCCACAGCGGAATGTACCCCAAGATCTTGTAGTATCATGGCTTTTAGGGTTCCAGCTTTTGGTGGACTTGTGAATGTTACTCTGCTTACCAAACATTCACTGTGATAACCACCTTCCTGATCTCCAATACCAGCGTGTCACCGCTTGCAAACACAATTATTCATACAATCTCCATCCATTCTTCTTGTACATTGTTCCCCTTTATTGCTGAGACATTCCCTCCAGCACTCGGTCATTGCACTTTCCCTCGCAGACACCAGTGCATGCTACTATACCATCTTATCTAGGCTTCTGAGCTTGTAAATCCACCCTTATTCAACCAGCCCTCCCTTTTTCACCAAGAAATCCTCTCTACCCTTCTGAAACCAAGAATTCATCCTCAGCTCGTTCAACCAGGCCCCTCACCCAGTCACCACATCATCCCCCCTGCGCCTCTGTACTGCTAGTAGCCCCAGATTCAACTTCACCTTCACCCCCTTCCCCCTGCCAGCCAGCCTACCACATCATCACCTCCGGCCCTCTGTACTGCTTGTACATCCAGTCCATCATCACCCAGCTTCAGCTTGTTTGACCAGGCCACTCCCCCTGTCACCAAGACATGCCATCCGGCCCTCCATACTCGTAAATCCAGTCCATAGATTGTTCCATGCCATACCTCCCTGCCTCCAGCACCCATATCATGCCCGTCCCACTGCCACCCTACCAGGTCATGCCCTCCGGCCCGAGCCTCACTCGTTGCCGCATACGCTGCTACCATGCCACACCTCCCCGCCCCCAGCCCAGCACCCTCACCATGCCCGTCCCACTGTCCCACTGTCAGCCTACCTACCACGACATCCCCTCGGGCCCTCTATACTGGTACATCCAGTCCATCGATCGCTCCGCAGCCGACTGAGGAGTGAACCGCAAAAACCCCTGCAGCAATGCACGAGCAGGTTACAGCTCGTCTGCCACCACTATCATGCGACTCACCCGCGCCTCCACATGCCACACAATCCCCCACTGCCAGCCCATGAGGACGCGCCCTCCACGCTGCCAGCCACCCTACCAGGACATGCCCTCAGGCGCTCTATACTGGTACATCCAGTCCATCGATCGCTCCGCAGCCGACTGAGCGGTAAGCTGCAGCACGGCCTGCTGCATGCACTGCACCAGCGGGTGATATCTCGTCTGCCACTGCCTTGTGCCCTGTGCCCTGTGCCCTGTGCCCCATGCTGCAACCCTTGATTCCCTGTCACCACGACATGCCCTCGGGCCCTCTGTACTGGTACATCCAGTCCATAGATCTCTCCATAGCACCTTGAGGAGTCAACTGCAGCAGGCCCTGCTGCAGGCGCTGCACCAATGGGTGATAGCTCGTCCGCCACTGCCCCGTGCCCCGTGCCCCGTGCCCTGTGCCCTGTGCCCTGTGCCCTGTGCCCTGTGCCCCATGCTGCAACTCTTGCTTCCCTGTCACCAGGACATCCCCTCGGGCCCTCTGTACTTGTACATCCAGTCCATAGACCTTTCCATAGCCGACTGTGGAGTGAGTTGTAGCAGCCCCTGCTGCATGCGCTGCACGAGCGGGTTGTAGCTCGTCTGCCACTGCCCTGTGCGCCGCGACACGCCTATCATGCGCCTCACCCGCGCCTCCCTCGCTGCTGCGTACGCTGCTAGCGCCGTGGGTACCGCTGCTGCTGCCTCGTTCTGCCAGTTGTAGACCGCACTGGAGCTGCTGCTGCTGGTACCCGCTGAGCTACTATCAGTGTTGCTGCTTTCGCTGCTGCTTCCCGTGCTGCCGCTGCTGCTGTCACTGCTTCTGCTGTGTTGCAAGGTTGGAGCAACGCAGTATTTAGTTAAAGCCCGAGCCAAAACCGCAGCATCTTCTATCGCGCTGTTTGCCCCCTGGTTCACAGTCGGCAGCATGGCATGAGCCGCATCACCCAGCAGAACCACTCTGTTCTCCCCTCCAACCACCACCCGCCCCTCCACCTTCCCCACTCCTCCCCCTCCCCCCACACTCGGGGCTCCCCCCACCCACGGCGCGTCCGCGGGCAGCTCGAAAAACCCGATTTTAACTGCCCGAACGGTCCTCGAGAACATCGCGTGAGCATCGTACGGATGAAACCAGTTCCACATGTCGTCCATCCCCTTTAAAGCGTCACTCGGTGTCCACATAGCGAGGTTATCCGCAGTAATCAGCTCCTGTTCCGATAAAAACCAGTACTGCTTGTCACGACCCATGCTCCAGGTGCCATATACCTTCCCTGGCCCGAGCACCCAGTAGGCACTGCCTTTAAGCCAGTCTGGGACTGAGGAGGTGATTCCGAGGATACAGGAGATGCCACTGTAGGCTGCTGATCCGCGGCTTGGCTTACGGTCCTGGGAGAGAGAGGAGAAAGAGGGAGATTGAGTGAGTAAGTGAGTGAGTGAGTGAGTGAGTGAGTGAGTGAGTGAAGGAGGGAGGGATTCTGGGGGTGAGTGGGCTAGAGCTGGCCCAAGAACCAAGTAAGCGCTGCCCTTGAGCCAGTCAGGGACCGAGGAGGTGACTCCGAGGATACAGGAGATGCCGCTGTAGGCTGCTGAACCGCGGCTTGGCTTACGGTCCTGAGAGAGAGAGGGAGCAAGAAAGAGAGAGGGAGAATGAACCATTGATAATTTTAGATTGAACCAGAGTGTCAGTCAGGCATGAAAGACGTGACTCCGAGGATGCAAGAGATGCCGCTGTAAGCTGCTGAGCCACGGCTTGGTTTACAGTCCTGGGAGAGGGAGGGAGGGGGCGAGGGAGTGAGTGAGAGTGTGTGAGCGAGTGTGTGTGTGAGTGAGTGATTCTGGGTGTGGTTGAGTTCGAGTTTGAACGACCGATAACAGATGCTGACATGGCACAACATGACTCACATGTGGATCATAACGTGGCATGACATCACTCGCATGGGATCATGACGTGGCATGACATCACTCGCATGTGGATCATGACGTGGCATGGCATCACTCGCATGTGGATCATGACGTGGCATGACGTCACTCACATGTGGATCATGACGTGGCATGACAGCAGAACGGACGGCTGATTTCACCCCATCTGCTCCCACCACCACATCCCCCACCTCACATGTGCCATCCTCAAAATGCACTCGCACTCCTGGTGGGTGGTGGGGAAGGAAAGGAGAAACAGAGGATAGGACCAGTGAGCCGATGAGAAACACCAGGAGTATGGAGAGAGAGGGTGCTCCCACAACCACATCCCCCACCTCATATGTGCCATCCTCAAAATGCACTCGCACTCCTGGTGGGGAGGGAAGGAAGGGAGAAACAGAGGATAGGACCAGTGAGCCGATGAGAAACACCAGGAGTATGGAGAGAGAGGGTGCTCCCACAACCACATCCCCCACCTCATATGTGCCATCCTCAAAATGCACTCGCACTCCTGGTGGGGAGGGAAGGAAGGGAGAAACAGAGGATAGGACCAGTGAGCCGATGAGAAACACCAGGAGTATGGAGAGAGAGGGTGCTCCCACAACCACATCCCCCACCTCATATGTGCCATCCTCAAAATGCACTCGCACTCCTGGTGGGGAGGGAAGGAAGGGAGAAACAGAGGATAGGACCAGTGAGCCGATGAGAAACACCAGGAGTATGGAGAGAGAGGGTGCTCCCACAACCACATCTCCCTCCTCATATGTGCCATCCTCAAAATGCACTCGCACTCCTGGTGGGGAGGGAAGGAAGGGAGAAACAGAGGATAGGACCAGTGAGCCGATGAGAAACACCAGGAGTATGGAGAGAGAGGGTGCTCCCACAACCACATCTCCCTCCTCATATGTGCCATCCTCAAAATGCACTCGCACTCCTGGTGGGGAGGGAAGGAAGGGAGAAACAGAGGATAGGACCAGTGAGCCGATGAGAAACACCAGGAGTATGGAGAGAGAGGGTGCTCCCACAACCACATCTCCCTCCTCATATGTGCCATCCTCAATGCACTCGCACTCCTGGTGGGGAGGGAAGGAAGGGAGAAACAGAGGATAGGACCAGTGAGCCGATGAGAAACACCAGGAGTATGGAGAGAGAGGGTGCTCCCACAACCACATCTCCCTCCTCATATGTGCCATCCTCAAAATGCACTCGCACTCCTGGTGGGGAGGGAAGGAAGGGAGAAACAGAGGATAGGACCAGTGAGCCGATGAGAAACACCAGGAGTATGGAGAGAGAGGGTGCTCCCACAACCACATCTCCCTCCTCATATGTGCCATCCTCAAAATGCACTCGCACTCCTGGTGGGGAGGGAAGGAAGGGAGAAACAGAGGATAGGACCAGTGAGCCGATGAGAAACACCAGGAGTATGGAGAGAGAGGGTGCTCCCACAACCACATCTCCCTCCTCATATGTGCCATCCTCAAAATGCACTCGCACTCCTGGTGGGGAGGGAAGGAAGGGAGAAACAGAGGATAGGACCAGTGAGCCGATGAGAAACACCAGGAGTATGGAGAGAGAGGGTGCTCCCACAACCACATCTCCCACCTCATATGTGCCATCCTCAAAATGCACTCGCACTCCTGGTGGGGAGGGAAGGAAGGGAGAAACAGAGGATAGGACCAGTGAGCCGATGAGAAACACCAGGAGTATGGAGAGAGAGGGTGCTCCCACAACCACATCTCCCTCCTCATATGTGCCATCCTCAAAATGCACTCGCACGCCTGGTGGGTGGTGGGGAGGGAAGGAAGGAGAGAAGGCAGGCAGGTGAACAAAAGTGTGGAAGGGGTGCTCCTACCACATCGCCCACCTCACATGTGCCATCCTCGAAATGCACTCGCACGCCTGGTGGGTGGTGGGGAGGGAAGGAAGGAGAGAAGGCAGGCAGGTGAACAAAAGTGTGGAAGGGGTGCTCCTACCACATCGCCCACCTCACATGTGCCATCCTCGAAATGCACTCGCACTCCTGGTGGGGAGGGAAGGAAGGAGAGAAGGCAGGCAGGTAAACAAGAGTGCGGAGTCAGTGCTCCCACGACCCGATCTCCCACCTCACACACCAAAAATGCATTCGCACTGTGGTCACTCCTGGTGGAGGAGAAAAGGAAAGGGACAGAGGACCACTGCTGAGCCTTCTCTCACTACCATCGAATGTGGTGATGTTGGGGAGAGAACGCCAAGAGCACCAGAAAAGTGAGTGCTCTCATCCCCCAACCCACTTCACATGACCTCACAGTCATACGTGGCCTACCCAGTGTGACAGCTGGCCTACCCAGTGGCAGCTAGCGTACCTTTCCCTGGCCCAAGGTTCTGCACGGAGATGCACTTTTTGTTGAACAGAATGGGCGGCACCGATGATGACTCAGCGCCTGACATGACCTCGTGGACCAGCAGGCCCTGCCACGTGGCACAGGGAGGGGAAGGTGGAGAGGAGGGGGAAGTGGAGGAGGCGGGGAGGGAAGGGTGAGGAGGAGGGGAAGGGAGAGCTATCATAGGCGACAGTCATAGGGCTTTCCAACCTGTGATTTGATGCAGGCTGGAGAAGAAGGTGAAGGGGGGCTTCAAAATGGTAATGCAAACAAAGCTTGCATTACGACTTTTGAGACGTCTCAAGAGTTGAGACGTCTTGACAATGCAAAGCTTGTATCACCATCCTAAAGTCCCCGTTCCCCTTCTCCTCTCCGCTCCGCCTACCAGCCTGCATCTCTGCTCGCTCCAGTGCCATCATGGGGTAGCCGTATCACCTTCCCACCCACGACCCATATCGTGTGACTCGTGCACGACCATCCTTCACCCACCCACCTGCAGCTCTGCTCGCTCCAGGGCCATCATGGGGTAGGTAGCCGTAGCGCTGAGACATGAACGAGTAGTCACAGGTGCGAAGCTCACTAGTGCAGGTGGTTATGTGTGGCACCGTGAAATTGCCCTGAAGCTTCGTGTGCCTCTTCCTCTGACCCACCTGCAGCTCTGCTCGCTCCAATGCCATCATGGGGTAACCGTATCGCTGGGATATGCATGCTGTGCCTGGTTTAGCTGTGCCTCTGTGCACCTGGCTTGACCCACCTGCAGCTCTGCTCGCTCCAATGCCATCATGGGGTAACCATAGCGCTTCGACATGAATGAATAGTCAAAGGTACGAAGCTTCTTGCCACTTTCCGTGTATGTGTGCAGCGAGGAGATGGGTCCACTGAGGTTCTGCAGAGCAGAAAGAACACAGAGAGAGACGTACCAATGAAAGTAACAATGTGTTACGAATGTAACAACGTGCTAAGAACGTAACAGTGACTTCGAATGGCAACCATGAGATCGAGACGCTACAGTGTGTTTGGAACGTAACACCTGCAGTTCCACCTCCCCCAGTTCCACCTCCCCTAGGCTGTGCTTTCCTCACCTGGACCTTCTCATCTCATACAACGTCCCGCAAGCGCAGCCTATTGGCTCCCAGTGACAGCCTCTCCCAGATCTACCTCCCCACGCTGTATATCCCTCACCTGGATCTTCTCATACAACCAGAGTCCGTCCAGCACGCGCCGCTCATTGGCGCTCAGCGAGAGCCTGCCTCTCTTATCCACCTCCCCGTTATTACCTCCCCATATACACCTCCCCCAGATACACCTCCCCCAGATACACCTCCCCCAGATCCACCTTCCCAAAATCCACCTCCCCCACTTCCACCTCCCCCAGATCCACCTCCCTCACTTCCACCTCACCCAGGCTTTGCTTCCCCTCACCTGGATCTTCTCGTACAGGCCCAAACCGTCTAACACGCGAAGCCCATTGGCGCACAGCGACAGCCCCGCGCCGACCGCCTGGATCTGCGGCGCCTGCTCGAACACCGTCGCCTCGAACAGCGACTCGGCGGGCGACGCGGGCGGTAAGGGCGCGGCGGAGCCGGCGGCGGCGGCTGTAGCGGAGGTGGAGGCGGCTGGAGCAGCGCGTTGGAGGATCGCGGGGAGCGTGCGCGCGGTGATTTGGCGGAGCGCGAGGGAGAGCGTGCAGCCGCCGATGCCGGCTCCCACGATCAGGACGCGTAGCTTGCGCATTGTGACTATAGCGCGAGGTGACCGGAGCGGGAGGGCGTGAGCATAGAGGAAGTTGGATACTTGAAGCCTTGCTCAGGGATGTAGATGAGTCTAGCTAACGGATTATTTTCATCTTTGCTCAGGCATGAAAAGGCGGACGCGACGCGGTTGTCCTTTCTTTCCTCTCGTCAAAGAGGCGAAACGATCTGAATCAGGTGATCGTAGCGATGGATAGTGGTGATGGTGATGTAACCCGGTTACAGGTCACACTGGAAGCCTGATCCAAGCAACCAGAGAGCTCCAGGCATTTTCATAGCCTGGGAACAACAACAAAAGCTGAAGTGCCAACGATAGGATGTGGATGGGTATGGTGATGGAAACGCGAATAGGGATCCCCAACACAAGTTTCGAGATGTCCCAAAACCCGATGAGGTGAAGGCGAAACGCGACGAAACGAGCCAAGCTCGAGAATGGAGTTCTCGTGTGGAGTCTCAAAAATCTTGCCTGGAAATGAAAAGCTCGCGAAATGAGCCAAGCTCAAGGAACTCGCCAAGCAATCCAACCCAGTCACAGCTTGGTAGATAAATCCGCGATAAAGAGCGAACTGTACCTTCTCATTTATCGCCTTGTAACAGCTATAGTTTCCTCCACAGACAGAGGTCCCCCTGAGGCCCGCCTGATCTGTAGGAAGACGCCCCTAGTTTGATACAACTCGCATAAAGGCCCCATGTGTACAAGAACCGTACGTCAACTTGGAAAGGTTTTGCTGTTGGTTGCACAGCCGGGCACTGGTCGACCGTGGAAGATTTTGTGGTTTATTTTATTTGAACATTACAGTATGTGTTGTTAATTTCCCTTATATGCTGTTTATTCGATAACCACAGTACGAAAGATGCCTGCAGTGCAAGATTCATTCTGTATGTGTACAAGTGCATACAGTGACCTCTACATTGTACATATAAAGTGTTGGATAAATTGGTTCAGCTGTAAAAATAATTATTGGTTCAAAGAAGAAGGGAGCATAGAAAATTGACATGAGAATGAGAGCTTCTGCGGATCAAAGGCAACTGTGACGTTGAACCTTGAATGGAAAGCAATGGCCTAAGTGAGGAAGGTACGGTAATCAGGAACTGGCAGGTTTGCCTGGTAATGGATGTGTGGTGGGGACGTTCTGCACGGTGTGTTTAGAGATACATGGTGAGTAGGGGGTGCTCCCAGCACTGTGTGCTTAAAGGGGAAGGTTGTCGTGCTTCTTGGGAGGGTTCTTGAGCTCCTGTTGCATGAAACGGGGGTGAGGGAACCATAGGGAACGATACACACACTTTTGAGTGAGTGACTCCAATATAACTGACCCACACATCCCTCCTGCGCTTCTTGGGAGGGTTCTTCAGGTCCTTTGCATGAAACACATATACGCGTAGACATGCACAGATGCAGAAACACAGTGAGCCAGAGTCCAGCTTGCAGCACAGCAGCTTGCATGTGTCCTGCGGCCTAATCACAGCGTCCATGAAGCCAGCACTGGCAGCGGAGTACGGGTTGGCGAATTTGGCGCTGCCATACCACGTTCAAGCCACCTGGACATCGGCTTTCAAGACAACCCACCTTGGATCGGAGGCGGTCCAGCTCGCGGCACAGCATCTTCCGCGTGTCCTGGGGCATGATTACGGTGTCCACGAAGCCAGCGCTGGCAGCAGAGTATGGGTTGGCGAATTTGGCATTCACTCAGGCTACCACAAGCACCAGGGACACACACCTTGGTTCGGAGGCGGTCCAGCTCGCGGCACAGCATCTTCCGCGTGTCCTGGGGCATGATTACGGCGTCCACGAAGCCAGCGCTGGCAGCGGCATATGGGTTGGCGAATTTGGCATTCACTCAGGCTACCACAAGCACCAGGGGCACACACCTTGGTTCGGAGTCCAGCTCGCGGCACAGCATCTTCCGCGTGTCCTGGGGCATGATTACGGTGTCCACGAAGCCAGCGCTGGCAGCAGAGTATGGGTTGGCGAATTTGGCATTCACTCAGGCTACCACAAGCACCAGGGGCACACACCTTGGTTCGGAGGCGGTCCAGCTCGCGGCATAGCATCTTCCGCGTGTCCTGGGGCATGATTACGGCGTCCACGAAGCCAGCGCTGGCAGCGGCATATGGGTTGGTGAATTTGGCATTCACTCAGGCTACCACAAGCACCAGGGGCACACACCTTGGTTCGGAGGCGGTCCAGCTCGCGACACAGCATCTTCCGCGTGTCCTGGGGCATGATTACGGCGTCCACGAAGCCAGCGCTGGCAGCGGCATATGGGTTGGCGAATTTGGCATTCACTCAGGCTACCACAAGCACCAGGGGCACACACCTTGGTTCGGAGGCGGTCCAGCTCGCGGCACAGCATCTTCCGCGTGTCCTGGGGCATGATTACGGTGTCCACGAAGCCAGCGCTGGCAGCAGAGTATGGGTTGGCGAATTTGGCATTCACTCAGGCTACCACAAGCACCAGGGGCACACACCTTGGTTCGGAGGCGGTCCAGCTCGCGGCATAGCATCTTCCGCGTGTCCTGGGGCATGATTACGGCGTCCACGAAGCCAGCGCTGGCAGCGGCATATGGGTGGTGAATTTGGCATTCACTCAGGCTACCACAAGCACCAGGGGCACACACCTTGGTTCGGAGGCGGTCCAGCTCGCGGCACAGCATCTTCCGCGTGTCCTGGGGCATGATTACGGTGTCCACGAAGCCAGCGCTGGCAGCAGAGTATGGGTTGGCGAATTTGGCATTCACTCACCAGGGACACACACCTTGGTTCGGAGGCGGTCCAGCTCGCGGCATAGCATCTTCCGCGTGTCCTGGGGCATGATTACGGCGTCCACGAAGCCAGCGCTGGCAGCGGCATATGGGTTGGCGAATTTGGCATTCACTCAGGCTACCACAAGCACCAGGGGCACACACCTTGGTTCGGAGGCGGTCCAGCTCGCGGCACAGCATCTTCCGCGTGTCCTGGGGCATGATTACGGTGTCCACGAAGCCAGCGCTGGCAGCAGAGTATGGGTTGGCGAATTTGGCATTCACTCAGGCTACCACAAGCACCAGGGACACACACCTTGGTTCGGAGGCGGTCCAGCTCGCGGCATAGCATCTTCCGCGTGTCCTGGGGCATGATTACGGCGTCCACGAAGCCAGCGCTGGCAGCGGCATATGGGTTGGCGAATTTGGCATTCACTCAGGCTACCACAAGCACCAGGGGCACACACCTTGGTTCGGAGGCGGTCCAGCTCGCGGCACAGCATCTTCCGCGTGTCCTGGGGCATGATTACGGTGTCCACGAAGCCAGCGCTGGCAGCAGAGTATGGGTTGGCGAATTTGGCATTCACTCAGGCTACCACAAGCACCAGGGACACACACCTTGGTTCGGAGGCGGTCCAGCTCGCGGCACAGCATCTTCCGCGTGTCCTGGGGCATGATTACGGCGTCCACGAAGCCAGCACTCGCAGCTGCATATGGATTGGCAAAATTCTCCACGTACTCAGCCATCTGGGCCTCCCTGTCCTTCTGCCCGCGGAACAGAATGCCTGCCGCGCCCTGTGATGAGGGAGAAATAAAAAGGGGTGAGAAGCGGTTGATAATGGTTCTGAATGAGCATTCTCCACGTACTCTGCCATCTGGGCCTCCCTGTCCTTCTGCCCGCAGAACAGAATCCCTGCTGCTCCCTGAGATGGGATACAAATGGAAGGCGTCAGAAGGGGTTGGGAGGGGTTGAGCCTGCACTCCCTTGGGTCACGAAGCCAGTGCTGGCAGCGAAGTAAGTACGGGTTGGCGAATTTCTCCACGTACTCTGCCATCTGGGCCTCCCTGTCCTTCTGTCCGCGGAACAGAATGCCAGCCGCGCCCTGTGAGTGGGGTAGAGATAGATGCAGGCAACTTTCAGCATTCTCCACGTACTCTGCCATCTGTGCCACCTTGTTTTTCTACACGCGGAATAGAATCCCTGCCGCTCCCTGCAGTGGGATTGATGGGATAGAGAAATAGGCAGGCGTATTTTCACTTTCAGCATTCTCCACGCACTCTGCCATCTGTGCCTCCTTGTTTTTCTACACGCCGCGGATCAGAATGCCCGCCGCGCCCTGCGATGGGGTTGAGATGGAATTGGGATAGATGGTGGGTCCAAGCACAACCAACGGCTGGCCTCTCTCGTGAGACGGTTTTTGCGGGGCCTTAAAAAGAGGGCTAACCTCTGAATGCAGAGGAAGAGCACTTACAGTGCCACCTACCTCCTTACCTTGGCACCCATCTGCCTACCTTGGCACCCATCTGCTTACCTTGGCACCCATCTGCCTACCTTGGCACCCATCTGCTTACCTTGGCACCCATCTGCTTACCTTGGCACCCATCTGCTTACATTGGCACCCATCTGCTTACCTCGGCACCCATCTGCTTACCTTGGCACCCATCTGCTTACCTTGGCACCCATCTGTTTACCTCGGCACCCATCTGCTTACCTTGGCACCCATCTGCCTACCTTGGCACCCATCTGCTTACCTTGGCACCCATCTGCCTACCTTGGCACCCATCTGCCTACCTTGGCACCCATCTGCTTACCTTGGCACCCATCTGCTTACCTTGGCACCCATCTGCTTACATTGGCACCCATCTGCTTATCTCGGCACCCATCTGCTTACCTTGGCACCCATCTGCTTACCTTGGCACCCATCTGTTTACCTCGGCACCCATCTGCTTACCTTGGCACCCATCTGCCTACCTTGGCACCCATCTTCCTACCTCAGCACCCATCTGCTTACCTTGGCACCCATCTTCCTACCTCAGCACCCATCTTCTTACCTTGGCACCCATCTTCCTACCTCAGCACCCATCTGCTTACCTTGGCACCCATCTTCCTACCTTAGCACCCATCTGCATACCTTGGCGCCCATGACAGCGATCTCAGCAGAGGGCCAGGCGAAGTTGGCATCACCCCGCAGATGCTTGGAGCTCATGACTGCATCAGGGGCGGGGGAGGGAGGAGAGGGAATGGGAGGCAGGGGGAAGGGGACAAAATAGGGGAAAGAGGCAGTGAAAAATGAGAGGTTCACGGAGGGGGAGTTGGCATCACCCAGCAGATGCTTGGAGCTCATGACTGCATCAGGGGCGGGGGAGGGAGGAGAGGGAATGGGAGGCAGGGGGAAGGGGACAGGGAAAGAGGCAGTGAAAAATGAGAGGTTCAAGGAGGGGGAGTTGGCATCACCCAGCAGATGCTTGGAGCTCATGACTGCATCAGGGGCGGGGGTTGGGGGCAAGGGGGGAATGGGAAAGTGGGGAGAGAAGGGGACGGGAGAGGGGGGTTGTGGGGAGCAGGGCATGGCAAGACAGGAGAGGGGAGGACAGAGGAGGAGAGGGGAGGGGAAGGGAGGGGAGGGGAGGGGAGGTGCAGCAGTCAGGCATACCGTAAAAGTCAAACACGGTTCCAAATCACAATAACCATGCACCACCATACACCTTGCGGGCGGGTGATGACAGCCACCTTGAGCACCCTGGCCTCTGCTCTATGCCTTGTTACAGAGGCACATCATAGCGCAAATACGCACGCGTCACATACTACTGTATGCACCACCATACGCCTTGCGGGTGATGACAGTCACCTTGAGCACCCTGGCCTCTGCTCTATGCCTTGTTACAGAGGCACATCATAGCGCAAATACGCACGCGTCACATACTACTGTATGCACCACCATACGCCTTGCGGGTGATGACAGTCACCTTGGGCACCGAGGTCTCTGCATACGCGTACAGCAGCTTGCCTCCATGTGCCTCCCACATATGGTCACTTCCCTTCACAGGCACACAACAGTACAATTACACAAGCCACGTACCATCGTACGCGCCGCCATACGCCTTGCGGGTGATGACAGTCACTATGGGCACTGTGGCCTCTGCATACGCGTACAGCAGCTTGCCTCCCTGTCCTTTTCCACAGATGATCACCTCTCTTTAAAGGCACACAGCAGTATAATCATACACTAATCACACACTAACCACGTACCATCGTATGCTCCACCGTACGCCTTGCGGGTGATGACAGTCACTTTGGGCACCGTGGCCTCTGCATATGCGTACAGCAGCTTGCCTCCGTGCCGGATGATGCCCCCATGCTCCTGCTTCGTTCCTGGGAGGCGGGGTGCATGATGGGAGGAGAGGACAGAAGGGGATTGAGGCAAGAAGCAAGACACACCCAGTTTACCGGCAGATATCACCCATTTACCCATTTTCCCATTTACCCATTTTCCTCACTTTTGAGGCGCCTCAAAAGTCAACAGATATCACCCATTTACCCATGTTCCTCACACAGCACGAACCGGATCCCACAGAGCACGATTTGAGTCTCATCGGGCTCGAACGAGTATTTACCTGACATGAACCGAATTGACCTGGCACAAATCAAATCAAATTTCACTTGGCATGAATCAAAACGAATCTCACCTGGATGAATCAAATCGAATCTCACCTGGCATGAATCAAATCGAATCTCACCTGGCATGAATCAAATCGAATCTCACCTGGCATGAATCAAATCGAGTCTCACCTGGCATGAGCCAAATCGAATCTCACCTGGCATGAACCCAGGCACGTCCACGAAGGTAACGAGGGGGATGTTGAAGCAGTCACAGAAGCGCACAAAGCGAGCCGCCTGGCGGGGACAGAAGAAAAGGGGGGAGGGTGGACAGGGGAGAGCGGGGGGAGGGTGTGCGGAGAGGGAGGGAATGTTGAAGCAGTCGCAGAAACGCACAAAGCGAGCCGCCTGGCGGGGACAGAAGAAAAGGGGGGAGGGTGGACAGGGGAGAGCGGGGGGAAGGTGTGCGGAGAGGGAGGGAATGTTGAAGCAGTCGCAGAAAGGCAGAAAGCGAGCTGGCTGGGGGAGGAGGGGAGAGGAGGAAAGGGTTGGCAGGGGACAGGGGAAGAGGGAAAGTTAGGGGAGGTGTGGATAAAGAGTGGGGAAGGGGATAGAGAGTAGTGATGGATGGAGTGGAAGCGTACAAGGCATGTCTTCAAACACGAACAAAAGAGCGCAACAAAAAGCAACTGTGATGAGCGGCTGGGTTGTTGGAGCGAGCAAGGAACTTGTGCCTCCTGGGGGCTGCTCTTTGGGGGTATTGTGAGTGGTAGCACTGAGCAGTTGTGATTGTACCTTAACAGAGGCATCAATGTCGATACACCCTGCCTGCTCCATGGGCTGGTTCGCCACCACTCCCACTGAGCCTCCGTCCATGCGCTGATGGTGCAGGGAGGAGAGGGAAGGCGATGAGGCACACATGTGCACATGGAGGTTCACAGATGCACACACATGCACATGCAGGTGCAGGCACACACCTGAAATCATGTCATGATGGTAAACCCAACAATCATGTTTGTACATCAAGGCCAATGATAATGTGCTTACAGCGAAGCCAATAGAGAAAACTATGTGTGCTTACAATGAAGACAATTTAGCAAAACGACATGTGTGTGCTTACAGCAAAGCCAACAATCATGTTCTTGCCAAACTCCGGCTGAAGCTCGTAAAACTGGCCCGCGTCCACCACCTGATGCCATACGGATGGGTGAGAAGAGGAAGAATAACAAGCGTCAGAGGGATTTGCGGCATGTCAAGTATGGGATGCACGTGTAGTGAGAAGATTTTTTAGTCGACTAAAAAACCGACTCACTACACACGTATGGGATGCATGTCAAGCGTGTCTTACAAATACTGGGGGCGTTACAAAGAGAATCCGCACCACAGCACTCTCCCTTTTCACATCTTTGCCCCTCACTCCTCACCTTATCAACTCGTCGTGAGGAACTTCCGCCTTCACAGAGACCTAATAATCACCTCACATGTCACATATCGTATGCCACGTTGAGGTAATTACACACGTCATCATGGCCCTTACCCTCTCAATGATGCCCATCATATCACACGCCATGAGACACCTTACGACGAATTCATTCAGCATCTCGTTCATGTTGGGATGGATAGAGTTAGCCATTGCCCCTCACCTTCTCAATGATGCCCATCATATCATAAGCCATGTTGGGGTCGCGGGGGACTGCAAACTCCAGTGCCGGCACTTCACGGTTGCTGAAAGCACACGTTGGGAGAGAGAGGGGTAGCGGGCAGAGGGGGAAATTAAGGGGCAGGGGAGGGATGAGGAGAGAATATGAGCTGGACAGCCTTTCCCTCCTCACTTAATCTGCACTGCAGCAGTCCGCGCTAGGTCGGTAGTGCGAGCAAACTTAGGAGGAGGGGGTGAAGCTAGCAGGAGGAGAAGTTGATTCGGCAGCAGGAGCAACGTATTTCGGGGAGACGGATGGGATGGGCTGGGGGGAAAGGCTTACGGCGGGTCAAAGTTGATGCGGCGGGGCGGCTGCTCCTTGTAGTTGAGAGGAAGGAAGTCAAACAGGTCTCGCACCCTGATGGGGGTAGGTGGAGGTTATGCGGGGTAGGGGGGGTAGGAAGAGGAAAAGTCTCAAAACACGATCCTTGTAGCTGAGCGGCAGGAAGAGGTAGCACAACCTGACGGTGGTGGGTAGAAGGTAAGGGGAGTAGGGGGGGGGATAGTCCCAAAGCACTATCGCTGACGTTGAGCCCAGGTGTATGTATTCCTTCCCGTGTGATAGAATCCTTTTCTTTGTCAAAGGCCAGGTGTCTATCTCTGAGGCGCCAAGTGAATAGGTTATGTTAGCCCGTGTGCATGTGTCTGTGTTCCTCACCGTGCGAGGGCATCCATCTCGTTGTCGAAGGCCATGTGAACCACGCCCGACTTGGTGTGCTTTGAGTCGACCGGGACCACGAATTTGAGGTGACTGGGAACACACATTCTCTTTTCCCACATCTCACCACGTGAGTCCAGGCGTATGCATCACGTACCGAGCCCGACTTGATGTGCGCCTCAGCCTCTTTTTGAGTCGAAATTAGGCGTCCATCTCATTGTCAAAGGCCATGCGCACCACGCCAGACTTGGTGTGCGCCTCCGCCCCTCCCAGTTGCTCCTGCGCATACTATGAGAGTGCGTGCATCTCTGACCGTGACACGGCATGGCATAAACCACTCACCATGTGAGCCAAGGGGTGTGTATCCCTTACCGTGCGAGGGCGTCCATCTCGTTGTCAAACGCCATGTGAACCACGCCCGACTTGGTGTGCGCCTCCGCCCCTCCCAGTTGCTCCTGCACCACCAAGCATTTGATTCATAGAGTGGAAGGGAGATGAGAAGGACAAATTCGAGAAAGGCAGTAGCGGTGGTTTGCATTTGAGGCTGGGCAAGGATGACTGCGTGACCAGGCATGTGACCAGGCATGCCCTCGTGCAGAGCAGACCTGACCTGAGAGACTCTAAAGCACAACTGAGGGACCTTACAGTGCAAACCGTGGGAAATTATAACGCACATCAGGGATCTCTATAACGCACCTGGGTGACCTCCTCGTATGTCACTTGCCGCACGACATCAGGGCCAGTCACGAACATGTGCGATGTGCCCTTCATCTGTTGGTTGGAGGGAAGATGTGAGGGAGGGTGTGAGGGATGAGGGAGGAGAGAGAAGTTCAGTGTGAGTGAGAGCATGCTTGCACATAAGTGCGAGGAGGGTGGGCATGTTCGTATGTGTGTGTGTGTGTGTGCGCAAGTGTTTGCATGTGTGTGTGTGTGTGTGCGCGCATGCAGTGCGTGCGTATGTGTGTGCCTGTGCTTTTGTGTCTGTGTGTGTGCGCGCGTGTGTGCGCATGTGTGTGAATGTGTGTGAATGTGTGTGTGTGTGTGTGTGCGTGCGTCTGCCCTCTCACCATGATGACAAAGTCGGTGAGGCCAGGCGAGTACACAGCACCACCTGAAGACAAACAACGCCGCCCCAATCAGATCCCAACACGCAGTGAGAGAAAGGATTACATGAAGAGGCCCACATCAGGAAAAGTGATACAGGAGGGATGGAGCGGTGTAGGGAGAATCAGGTAGCGAGTGATGTAAGAGGTTGATGCAGGGTACAAGGCGTGGTGGAGAGATTTGAAGGGATGAAGAGCGGTACCTGCGCATGGTCCCATGATAAGCGAGATCTGTGGGATGACTCCAGATGCCAGCACGTTAAGCTGGGAGGAATGAGTGAATGGGGAAGAGGACGCAGGAAAAGAAGGGGGAGGGGGGGAAATTAGAGGGATTCACGCCAGGTGTGGACAAGAGGACGCAAGAAGGAACGGCAGTAAGGGAAGCAAAGCCAGCAGGGGCAGCAAGGCAACACGAGCGGTGGGCAGTGCGGCAGCGGGGGCAGCAGGCAGTACCTGGAAGACCTTGGCGTAGCCACTGAGGGAGTGCACCCCCTCCTGAATGCGAGTACTGGCAGCAGGCAGGCAGGAAGGGCAGAGTTAGAAGCAGGCAGTACCTGGAAGACCTTGGCATAGCCGCTAAGGGAGTGCACCCCCTCCTGAATACGAGCCCCTCCTGAATCGTTCAGACCGATCACCTGAGCGGGGCATACACGCATTACACGGATGGACTTGAGGTGAATCCTGCATGCAGTGCATCAGCCTTACTCGAACATCAAAGCTTTTATGTTTGTAATCATCGGCTTGAAGCGAGACATCATTGGCTTGCAGTGCATCAGCCTTACTCGAACATCAAAGCTATTACGATCATCAAACAGCATCGGCTTGAAGCGAGACCTTGCATGCAAACGTGCGTTCATTTCATTACATCGGCCGTGCATACTAATGAAGGATCATTCGGGTGGAGAGTGAGGGTGAGGGGGGAAGAGAGGGTGACTCACAGGCGCACCAGCCTTCATGGCTTTCTCCATGACCTGCCATGTGAATGAGTGGAGACAGGGGAGACAGGGGAGACAGGGGAGACAGGGGAGACAGGGGAGACAGGGGAGACAGGGGAGACAGGGGAGACAGGGGAGACAGGGGAGACAGGGGAGACAGGGGACAGGGAGGAGTATTTTGAGTCAACTTCAAGATCACCCACAAAATGCACCCCCCTGAGTCACAGGCGCGCCAGCCTTGATGGCTTTCTCCATGACCTGCCGTGCTCGTGGTGGATTCAGAGGGGATAGGAAGGAGGGGAGGAGGAGCGGTGAGGACTTTTGAGGCGCCTCAAAAGTCGTCACAGGCGCGCCAGCCTTCATGGCGTTCTCCATGACCTGCCATGCTCGTGGTGGATTCAGACGGGATGGGAAGGAGGGGAGGAGGAGCGGTGAGGACAGAGGATAGCAGCTGGAGTAAGGATGCATGGAACCGGAAAGAACAGAGAGGAAGGAGGAACTTAGGGAGATAATCTCCAGCTGAGTTTCCAGAAAACTGGTGAGTAGAACGGAAGAGAAGAGATGTGACAGAGGAAGGCAAGAACGTTTGAGAGGACCGCGAGGAAGAGAGGGCAGACGTTTATGGAGACGGGCGAGGTTCAAGCGGGGAAAGTAACGTGCATGGTCTGTGGACACAATCACACAGCAGGGCGGCACCTTGATGATCTTAGCAGCATGCGTCTCTGACAGACTGCCACCGAACACTGTGAAGTCCTGGCTGAACAGGAACACCAGCCTGCAGGCAGCAAGACAAGAGAAAAAGTCTCGATATAAGGAGCCTCAAAACAAGCACTGTGAAGTCCTGGCTGAACAGGAACACGAGCCTGCAAGCAGCACGGAGACAGAACACTATTCTTAACTCTCACAATATAGCAGTACATGTCACGGAGAGCACAAGGCAGGTTTCCTTGAGTCTCCTTGATGGTGCGTAATGAGAAGCACGAGCGATGAAGCAAGGGACAGTTGTGGAAGATGTCATATACTGTGATATAATATGATATGGTATCATGCGGTAGGTATGTAGGGTTTCGTACCTGCCGTTGATGGTGGCACTGCCAGTAACAACACCTGAAAGACACCATGCCAACCCATTCACGTATTGAATTCCACCATTGTCATTGAATTCCAACCCACACCATCCCACACCATTCCATACCATCCCATGACATACCAAGCCACTCCATTCCATCCCTCCCGGGCCATCCCGATTCCCACATGAGTCCAGGGAGTTCAAACAGGGAGCTCAGGGTGAGAAACGAAGTAATGCGACAAACTCCAGTGATCTTTTCAAGTTAAGGGGAGTGGTGGGCGGCATGCAGGGCATGAGGCTGTGGGGCAAGTCAATGATGCATGCCAACGGCGCTATGCGTGCCAGCCAATGATGGATGCGAATATTGCATGTCATGAATGCGTATCCTCTCCTTCAGGACTTCCCAGTGACCAATCTACCACCCCTCCACTCTGCAAACCATTCACTTCTCAAACATTGAAGTTCATACAAGAGCACTGGGAAGAGTTAGAGGGGATGTGGGCACGTACCGTCGCCAGGGATGTGAGTCTTGTCCATGCCAAAGTCATGGCAGCGGTGTTGCACCAACATGTCTGCAGCACAAGGAGGAAACACGTACCATGAAACACATTACATCGTACAAGTGGAGGGTCATGCAAGGAGCCAAATCTTTGAAAGGGCTCCCCAAAAGGGCTTCTTGGTTACACAATCAGTGCCTCCAGCCAACATGCGTTTTTGGTAAGCGAAAGAAGTGTATGCCGATAAGAGTTTCAGAGTGTACACTCCCAGCTGTGCGTCCCAGGGTGTGTGTTCCACAAACGCAGCACTCACCGAGCTCCTCAAACGACCCGGGGTCCACGAGCACTTGGATCCTCTCCCGCGCTGTCAGCTGCCAGGAGACACGGAAGAAAAGGGAGAACAGGAAGGCAGACACGCGGATCATCACATAAGAGCGAACGCAGGCACGGGGATGATCACATAAGAGCGAACGCCGGCACGGGGATGATCACATAAGAGCGAACGCAGGCACGGAGATCTCCTTGATTCTCCCTTCACTCGTCCTTCCCCGTGCGCCTCTCACCTTGCCGCCCTTGTGCTGCTTGTCGATCTTCTGCTGCCCGTGCATCTCACCTTCCCTCCCCCCCTTGCACCTGACTCCCCCTGCACCCCCTCTCCCCTGTGCGCAGCTCACCTTGCCGCACTTCCCCATGCGCGCCTCTCACCTTGCCGCCCTTGTGCTGCTTGTCGATCTTCTGCTGCCCGCCTCCCAGGCGAGCGCGCCTCTCGCGCTCCTCCAGAGCCAGCACGGCGGGCTGACGGAGAAGAGGGGGCGGGGAGGGGGTAGCGGGGAGGCCGGGCCGGAGGGATAGGGAAAATGAGGGTGGATTCCGGAAGATTTCGCCTTGATGAGAGACGAGGGCCTCTCTTGCGCCCCGCGGGGACTAGCACGGCGGGCTGGTTGGATGCGGTGCAGGGTTGAGGGGGAGGATGGGGTGAACAGGGAGAAGGAGCGTTTGTTTTTTTAGAATTCCGGAATATGTCGTTTTGAGGAGAGACGAGGGTCTCTCCAGCGCTCCTCGGGGACTAGCACGGCGGGCTGGTTGGATGCGGTGCCGGATAGGGGGAGGATGGGAGAACAGGGAGAAGGAGAAGAGCGGAAGGAACAGGGAGATCTTAGGACACATGCCACTCACTACGAGGGAACGCGCCGCGAAATGGAACATGGTAACCACGGGAAAAAAGGGTCTCGGGTGTTCCTGCGCCGAGCCAGGATGCGATGAAACGATTTGTCTAAAAAGTATCTCGTGGGAATCCAAGAACGATCGGCGCGCTTTTGGAGTTAAAGCGCAGATTATGCAGTTGAGAATCCTATCGGAAGCGCCTCAGAACTCGGCGCGCTTCTGAAAGGCAGATAATCCAGCCAAGATCCCAAGGCGACGGCATTGAAGGAAAGTCGGAGATGCTCAGATCAGACGAGAGAAGCACGAGGCGAATACTGACGGCACATGCTCCCTCGAGGTCGGCCGTTCATGGCGGACCCTAACATGAGAAGCTGGAAATTACAAAGTGCTTTTGACTCACGGCAATGTTGTCAAGGGTGCTTACGGGAAGGCTTAAGCAGAAGCGACGATGCACGGACCCTGAAACGGGTTGCGACTATGGAAAGATTCGGACACTCGCATTTCTTTGCGATATCTGTGAAATGTGTCTAGCACTCACCCTCTTGAAGTTTGCAACACCGGTGGGAGCAGTAGCGGCTGGCAAGGCATCCGTCGCCGACCCTCTTGAATGTGCCTGCAGGTTACAAATGCCTTTCTTTTCAGTATCAAGAGTCTCTCTTTCTCTCAAAAAACAACGGTGAATGACAATCGCAAAAAGCTAATGCGAATGCGAGTTGCTCGATAAATAGACGAATTTGTTCAGTTGCAGCAATGGCGTAGAAACGGGACATAATATTGCGTCAAAATGATAACTAGATGTTAGAATGTCAGCCTCCGAACGCTCCTACGCTTACAGGCGCATTGCTGTCTAGCCAAGCTGCGGTGAAACCAGTTGTCGGCCTGGCGGCAGCATTGCCGGTTGCGACGGCGACGGCCGACTGACACGCTTCCAGCAGGCGAGATCGCGAACGCGAGATTGCGCGGGACAACATCTTAACGCTCCTGTTCAACCTTCACGCAAGATCTACTATGCTTGTCTTCTACCGAACGACCTCGACTTCGGAAGCGCGAGGTTAAGTTAAGACAGCTCCACTGAACCGTGAACCTGATCAGGGACTAGCACAAACCACGCGGTAATGGCTTCTGCTAGTTACAGAGCAGTCGAGACGAGCTCGTATAATCCCGAAGAACTGTTCCCAAGAAAGGAACACAAGCTGCTGACTGCTTTACAACTGGGAATGAATGGAATGGGCTGCTTGTCTGTCTGCCAAAGAGAGCATCTTCATGGCCTGAAAAGCAGCGAAACTGGAAGCTAGAGCCTAGGTAGGGATTCCCATCCCATGCCCAAGCCGAGCCATAGGGACGTTGGACTTGCAAAGACTTTCGCCACGCCGGTAACACCAGTTCCTGTTACACTGCTGACGATGACGAGGGAGCTCCATGAATTTCGCTCAATGGCGAATCATTGCCACCACGAAAGACACGTCAGTGGCAGCCAATCGTAGAGGCAGATGCTATCGAAGGTGGTGGAGATTTTGCTCACAATATCCCAGAATCACGGAAGCCGTTGAGAGAATCTGGTGCTGCTTTGCGTTGACGTGGCTGAACTGGTTTGACAACCTTCCTCATTGAGGTCCCCGCTGTGAAGCTGCGCCAAAAGCTTCAGATTTTACCAGCCATGGAATTGCGCATTGTACCAGCCAATAATATTGATTTCTACTCCTGAGCCTTTGCTCCAAACAGAAATACGGTACAGGGCTAATCGGCAAACATTCAACAAATAGATACGGCGTTGAAGATACATGCACTTTGAGGACACAAGGCACTAGTCAATCCAAATGTCTGCCCGAAAATGCATGGCACCTTCAGGAAAGAACACATCAGGAGCCGCAAGAACCTCATCCCACGGTTTCTTAAACAGGTCCCTTGATCCCCACCCATGGTATGGCTCTGAGAAAACACATCCACTGCGAGACTTCACCACGCAGTACCCCACTGAACCACTGACACTGCTAACCCCCATCCCGCCAGCATCAGCACTGGGAGCAGCAGGAGCAAAAGCAGCAGCTGCTGATTCGCTCCTATGCGAACTAAGCCCAGGTGCACTGGTTGCTGCAGCAGCAGCTTGGACAGCAGCAGCAGTGGAACCAGCAGCAGCAGTGGAACCAGCAGCAGCAGTACCATTCACAGCATTACCACCACCAACGCAACTCTCCCCATCAGCTCTCCCCCCCAGATCCATTTTCACACAGAACCGGTACTGGCAGTTCACACTCTCAGCAGCAACGCCTGGGAAAGTGGCGTGCTTATCTAAGCGCAGAAACAACCCGAATCTTGGGCCGAGTTCCTTCTGACACTCCAGCTTCGCGTTGAGTGTGAACCAGCGACCGGCAATGCAGAACAGGCCGGAAGTTGCCTGGAAGGAGACGGATGGGGTCCAGCCCTGGCACTGGCTGAAGGGGATTTCTAGGAAGAGGGACTTGCGTGGCGGGCGGTAGGAGTTGCGGGGGCGAGACCAGGAATTGGAGGCGGGGGAAGGAGAGTAAGAGGGGGGGTTGAGTGAAGGGGACGACCAATAGTAGGGGTTGGGTGAAGGAGGAAGGATGAGTGAAGATTGTGAGTGTTGGTGGGAAGTGGAGGTGGAAAGGGAGGAATGTGTGTGGAAGGAGGAAGCATAGGGCGAGGAGGAAGCGGAGGAGGAAGAGGGAATGGTGGAGTTTGTTGTGCTAGCGAAAGCAGGAGGTGTGGTGTAAGTGGCGCCAGAAGATAAGCCAACAGGAGGAGGAAGAAGAGGAGGAAGAGGAGGAAGAAGAGAAAGAAGAGGAGGAAGAGGAGGAAGAAGAGAAAGAAGAGGAGGAAGAGGAGGAAGAAGAGAAAGAAGAGGAAGTGAACTGCCAAGCGGAAGGAACAATGACGGTGGTGGTGATATTAACCACGAGTGCTGAGCACTCACACCAGAGCTCGTATCCCCCCTATAAGCATCCCCCCTTTGAGCAGCAGCAAATAGCCCTTCCAGTACTACCGCCCTCGCCTCCTCACTCTGCATCTCCTCCAACCCTACCACCACCGACCGCACAAAACCAGCCCCCACCCACGCCCACCGCACCTCCCTCACCAGCCTCCCCACTGCCGCCCTCCTCTCCGCCACCCCTGCCCCTGCGCGCGCGTGCTGCCTACAGAACCCCACTTCGCCGCCCGGACCCGCTTCGCCAGCTGGATTCTGTTCTTCTCGAGAATCCAGTTCGCCGCCCGGGAATCTGTGCCGGGCCCAAAGGATGAGGGCGCAAAAGACAGACTCTTCGGAATCCACGGGTAGTTCGTCGGACTCTAGGAGGGCTCTTATGCCAGCCTCAGGGAGAGTGAGCAGCTCGTTTGCAGAGGCGGGTTGGTTTGGGTGGGGGTTGGTGGAGTGAAGGGTGATGTGGTGAAGGTGGTTTTGGTGGTGAAGGGCGTTGGACTGCAGGGAGGAGGTATGAAGGGAGTTGGGATGAAGGGTGTTGCAAAGAAGGGTGCTGGGGTGGAAGGAGTTGAAGAGCGGTCCATAGCGGTGCACAACGCAAGCCTGGGAGGCATGGATGAGGGGCGTGAGCAGTGGGTTGAGGCGGAGAGATGGCGGGAGAGAGAGTGCGAGTAGCGCCTGCTGAGTGGTGAGGGAGGAGGGAGTGTGGGCGGCGGAGGAAGAGGAGGAGGAAGAAGAGGAAGAGGAGGTGGTGGTGGTAGAGGTGGTGGCGATGTATGGGGTTGGAGGGTTTGTTGGCTGAGATAGGGTTGCTGTGGCAGCAGAAATGGTGCTGTTGGGTGGGACGGACGGTGGAGCAGTGGAGGAAGCAGAGGCAGAGGCAGGGAGAGAGGGGACAGAGGAGGAGGAGGAGGGGTGGGGAGGGAGGGAGGTGAGGGAGGTGAGGGAGGTGAGGAGGGAGGAGCAGGTGGCGATGCCCTCGTCCACTCCAAAGCGGTCTGCCAGCAGGAGCAGCTGCAGTGTGCGCTCAAAGGATGTGACTGTATCGGGGGGCAGCGTGCCCTGGTAGATGAACTGCAGCAGCTCCATCATTAGCGGCTCCTCTGCAGGGTGTTGGGGGGGAAGGGACGGGAGGGAGGAGAGGGGGGGTGTTAGGGACAGAAGAAGAGACGGGGAGAGAAGAGAAAAGGAAACGGTAAAGAAGGATCATAGTAAGGGGAGCATCCCCTGGTAGATAAACTGCAGCAGCTCCATCATCAGCGGCTCCTCTGGGTTGGAAGGAACCGGGGAGAAGAGAAGGGAACCAAGTGGGGGGACGGATTCGCGAGAAAAGAGGAATGGGAAACGACACTATCGTAAGGGCAGTGTGGCCTGGAAAATCAACTGCAGCAGCTCCAGTATCAGCGGCTCCGTGCTTGAAGTACTGTTGTGAGACGTCTCAAAACACTACTTCAAACCCCGGGAAGATCAAATGCAGCAGCAGCCCCATCATCAGCGGCTCCTCTGCGGTGGAATGGATGGGTTGGGAAGAAAGGAAGAAAACGGGAAACACACTGGTAAGGATGGTAGTCTGTCTCAGCTATGTGGCCCACACCACACCATACCAATCACACCATACCAATCACACCATACCAATCACACCAAACCAATCACACCATACCAATCACACCATACCAATCACACCAAACCAATCACACCATACCAATCACACCATACCAATCACACCATACCAATCACACCATACCAATCACACCATACCAATCACACCATACCAATCACACCACACCGCACCACGCCACACCGTCCATCCGTACCATGGGTAGACAGGCGGATGTGCACGGGGAGTCGGTCGAGCGTCTCACTGAACCCGCTGGTGAAGAAAGCGCGGACGAAGGTGGACTTGGTCTGTCCTAACTATGTCGGTCACACCACGCCATGGCACAGCACAGCACACCTTAGCTTGGGCCGACAGGTGGATGTGCACAAGTCGGCGGTCGAGCGTCTCACTAAACCCGCTGGTGAAGAGAGCGCGGAAGAAGGACGATTTGGATGCCAAAACCACCGACGCTGCTGGGACGTCCCGAGTCGATGGCTCGGAAAGGGAGGTGGGTGCTTGGCTTGCACAGGAGCATACCTTGAGCAGATAAATGGATGTGCACGAGCCGTCGATCGAGCGTCTCACTGAACCCGCTGGTGAAGAGAGCGCGGAAAAAGGAAAATTTCAACGCCAAAACCACTTATGCAGCTGGCACGGCCCAGGTCAACGGCTCGGCACAAACCACTGTCCCATCCATCCATCCATGCCTCAGGCATACCTTGAGCAGATAAATGGATGTGCACGAGCCGTCGATCGAGCGTCTCACTAAAGCCGCTGGTAAAGAGAGCGCGGAAGAATGTCGACTTGGACGCCAGAACCACCGACGCTGCTGGCACATCTCTAGTCAACGGCTCGGCAGGGGAGGCTGATGCTTGCGCAGTAGCAGCAGCAGTTGATGTTTCTGCTTCTGGAGAAGCGGCAGGGGCAGCAGCGGCAGGGGCAGCAGCTGCTGCAGCAGCAGCACGCCTTGATCTTTGAAGAGGCTCGGAGACTTTTGTTGTTGTTGTTGTTGTAGCAGCGGTAGCAGCAGCTGCTGCTGCTGCTGCTGCTGCTGCTGCTGCTGCTGCTGCTGCTGCTGCTGAGCTGTCGTTTTCCACGCTGTCCTTGGCAGAACGTGCTGTGGCCGTTGCAGGTAAAATGTCATGCAATCCTGAAAGAGAGATCACGAGGGCATCACATGGGAACAAATGACGCAAATCCGTAAGTAAAGATACATGCCTAGAGGCCGCTTTACTGCGGAGAGTGGCTGAACCACAAGTCCAATCCTGAGGCTTGAGACAGTGAAGGTAGGCCTCGACGTAGGAGGACTTAAAAACATCTCAAAATACCCCCAGAGGCACGCTCGTACCTGTTGAATGTGGCTCAATCACAAGGCGAAGGACGCAGTCGGAAAAGGAAGGTTCTCGGAAGGCGAAGGCGAAGTCGAAGCGCGGTAGTAGGGTCGCCATTTGTGGATGACGTAGCGAAAGAGAATGACACTTCTGCCTGTCAAATAGATAGGACAAGTTGGTTTACAGTCAACTTGTGAACACTAATCATACGCGGTGGCCAGGCCTTGGTCGTCCGAGAATCCAACGCGTGCTCTTCATAAAATGCGTTGATGTGTTGAAGCAGGATTACGAGCATCGGGATTCGAGACGACAGCTCGTCCCGTCACCTTTACGCCTGTCGAACGACAGCCTAGCCGACCGCCGCCTGAAGGAACGAGGCACCTGATGTGAAAATCGAGTTCGAAGTTGGAAAAAAACACATGTAATTACTAACACATGGCAAGTGTGGCAGTAGGTAATGGTTCTCCTCAGTCGGTGCGCTTTCAAGCTTCAAGTTTACAAAAGCCACGGTACTGTTCGGTGTGTTGCGTTACCAGGCGTTAAGAAAATGAAGACTACTGTTTACCAGGGCGAATCTCGTGAACAAGAAGAAGGTGAACCACATCGTTTGTCGTAACCGGCTATTTCACGAGCTTGACGAGATTCGAGAAAATACTTCGCAAACGCAAATGAAGCGATGGTTGGTTCGGTCACGCGATATAAACAAACATCGTTTCAGATATTTGGGAAGGACATCTTGGTGCATGCGGCACTTCTTACACATGTTTTGAATGATCTTGACAACTTTCATGCACTTCAATTTGGAAACTTTCACTTGCACCTTCCATCCATACGCCTTCCTTTACCTCTTTTGGCACATATCTCTTATGCCTACAAGCTGTTATCCTACTCAACTTGCATTCGTACCACCGCATGGCATCGGTTCCGACGTAGCGTTGTTCTCAAGGCGTCCCGAGAAAGCACCATTCGCTGCATTAGCCTTCACCGCGCGCGGGTCTAATAGTATTACTAGGTCTTGGGAGCACAGGCCTTTGTTAAAGCAGCACCAGTGAACGTCTTGGCGACACAGATACTGACCTTCGTACGACCTTGGTACGACATTCATACAAGCCTAGTCATCGAGTCAACTGAAGTCAAAAGTTGTATCTTGCAGACGACAGCCGACTCGCGTCTCCCTCCGCACTAGATCATGTCCGCCGCATTCGCCGCTGGCACGTGTCAGCTGACGTGGCGCACGGTTTCTTCTGCTGCGTCTTCAGAAGCGCGCGAAAGTGCTTCGCGGCTCGCTAGACACGGCCAGGGAGCTCGGGTTCGGTGTAGCGGGTGGAAGGGAAACACGTGGCGACTCAGGAGTGGCAAAGAGGCCTCCGGGAGATGGAATGGCGACGGGAAAAGGACTCGCGTGGCGCGGTTACGAGCAGGCCTGGATGACGTGAGTTGGTTAGGTGGTTGGGGGTGCGTGTGTGGAGACATGCGACTAGCAGAAGGATTTGTAAGGGGCGGTTACGAGCAGTAGCCAGGCCCAACCTCACCCTTGGAACGGCAATCAGCGGCAGCAACCTGCCGGTGGAGTATGTGAGGGGCGTGCAGCCTTTGCATGCTACCCCTTGCACCGTACCGTACCGTCTGTACCATTGTCCACCCTGATACCTCCCTCCGTCCCTCTCTTCATTGCTGCAGCAGCCAGGCCCCACCTCGCCCATGGGAGGGCAGACACGGAGGCAGCTGCTGGTGGAGTATGTGAGGGGCGTGTAGCCTATGCGTGCCTGCCACGCTTACCATACCATACTGTAACTTTACCGTACCATACTGCACCATTGTGCACCCTTCTCCTTCTTCCTTGCTGCAGCAGCCAGGTCCCACCTCGCCCATGCAAGGGCAGACGCGGAGGCAGCTGCTGGTGGAGTATGTGAGGGGCGTGCAGCCCGACTTCATGGAGAAATTCTTCCAACACGCCGAGCCGCAGGTGAGTGCTGGGTTGTCATGTCAAGCCACAGCATTGTGTGGTGCCAATGCGCCGTGGCAGCAACAGGGAGCATGTGAGGTGAGTGTGAGTATGTGAAGGGCGTGCAGTGCAGCCGGACTTCATGGAGAAATTCTTCCAGCACGCCGAGCCGCAGGTGAGTGCTGGGTTGCCATGTCAAGCCACAGCATTGTGTGGTGCCAATGCGCCGTGGCAGCAACAGGGAGCATGTGAGGTGAGTGTGAGTATGTGAAGGGCGTGCAGTGCAGCCGGACTTCATGGAGAAATTCTTCCAGCACGCCGAGCCGCAGGTGAGTGCTGGGTTGCCATGTCAAGCCACAGCATTGTGTGATGCCGATGCGCCGTGGCAGCAACAGGGAGCATGTGAGTGTGTGAGTATGTGAGGGGCGTGCAGTGCAGCCGGGCTTCATGGAGAAATTCTTCCAACACGCGGAGCCGCAGGTGAGCTCTAAGGAGAGTGTGTGGCGCGAGGGGTGCATTTTTGAGTCGACTCAAAAGTCACCTCGTGTGGCGCGAGGGGTGCACTTTTGAGTCGACTCAAAAGTCACCTCGTGTGGCGCGAGGGGTGCACTTTTGAGTCGACTCAAAAGTCACCTCGTGTGGCGCGAGGGGTGCATGCGAGTCTGTAAATTTGAGGGGCGTGCAGCCGGACTTTTGGAGAAATTCTCCCAACACGCTGAGCCTCAGGTGAGGAGAGGGGTATGTGGGCATGCGGGCACTGGGTGGGCATGTGACTATACTAGTATGTGAGTATGTGAGGGGCGTGCAGACGGACTTCATAAATTCGTAGAGTTCTTATCTTACCTTCCAACTGCGTTCTTTCTTCCCTCTCCCCCCCTTCCCTTCCGGCCTCCTTTCCTTCCCCTCACACCAGTTGGTGGATGCGATGAGACAGACCGTGAGCAGCATGCTGGGGTGATTGCTCTCAACCATCCTGCCTTCGTTCTTTCCTCCTGCCTGCCTCCGTCCTTGTCCCTACCCTTCTTCCCTGCTCCTTTCCTTCCCCTCACACCAGTTGATGGACGCGATGAGACAGACCGTGAGCAGCATGCTGGGGTCGCTGCTCAACCCTTCTGCCTCCTTTCTTCCTTCCTGCCTGCCCCCATCGGCGTCTCCTCCCTTCCCCCTCGCTCCGTCCTTCCTCCACGCCAGTTGGTGGATGCGATGAGACAGACTGTGAGCAACATGCTGGGGTCGCTGCCGCCGCAGTATTTTGAAGTCACCGTCACAACGGTACGGTGCGGTGGGGGGTGGTGGGGGGAGGGAGGGGGGGAATTCGGGTTGCTGAGTGGATGATGGTGCATGTTCCTGCAGTGCACAGGGTGCTTCCCCCGTGGCACAGGGTGCTTCCCCCGTGGCACAGGGTGCTTCCCCCGTGGCACAGGGTGCTTCCCCCGTGGCACACGGTTCTTTTCACAAAGAGTGGCACACGGTCTTGGTCTCCACTCCACAAAGCAGTCTGGTTTAACCTCAACACGGCAGGTGGCGTGAGGGAAAGTCTGGCGCAGCTCATTTTCAGTGTGATGATGGCGGGTTACATGTCCCTGTTTCATGTTTCATTGTGGGTGTTCAACTGAATTTCTCTACATCCCCATTTATTCCCAACTAACCCAACAGGGCAGGTGGGGGAGAATCTGGCCCAGCTCATGTTCAGCGTGATGATGACGGGTTACATGTTCTGTAACGCACACTACCGCCTTGAACTCTCCTCCTCCTTCATCTTGTCTCCCCACATGTTCTCCTCCCTATATATGGCAGGTGGGGAGAATCTTGCGCAGCTCATGTTCAGTGGGATGATGACTGACGGGTTACATGTTCCGTAATGCACAGTACCGCCTCGAACTCCTCTCCTCCTCTGTCATCTCGTCTCTCCACATCTTCTCCTCCCTACACCTGGCAGGTGGGGGAGAATCTGGCACAGCTCATGTTCAGTGTCATGATGACTAGTTACAAGTTCCGTAACGCTCAGTACCGCCTCGAACTCCTCTCCTCTCTCTTGGAATCCACACGTGCCCCCTACCTACAAATGGCAGGTGGGGGAGAATCTTGCGCAGCTGATGTTTAGCGTGATGATGACGGGTTACATGTTCCGCAACGCACAGTACCGCCTCGAACTCTCCTCCTCCTTCGCTGGCGCCGTCGCCCTCCCTGCTGCCTCCTCCACCTCCTCCCCTACCTCTCCTACCTCTCTCCCATCCTCCTTCCCTCCTCACATCCCTTCCTCTTCTTCCTCCACTTCCTCCTCCTCGGTTCAACCACTACCAGCGTCGTCAGCCTTTACGTCTTCAGACAGACAGAGGGGGAGCAGCAGCGGCAGCAGCAGTGGCAGTGACTCGGAATCTGGCTCGTGGGTAAGCTGATTCACAAGTTGTGTTGTGTGGCCATGGCACGGGCATGGGCAGTGGGTGCAGGAGCGTATGGATGGGCATGGGTGCATGGTTGCGTAAGCAGGCACGCATGCCAACGAGAGCGGTGCTTCGTCCCGTTTGTTCTCCTTTCCCCTTCTCCCTCCCCCGTTTTTCTCCCTCAAATACGATTGGTCGTAGAGCTGTCTCTTTTTGAGAATTCTCAAAAACCAATTGTTCGTAGAACTGTCTCTCCCTCTTCACTCCGCGTGCATTGAGGTCGTTTTTGAGGCGCCTCAAAAACGACCTCACATAGGATTGGTCGTAGAACGGTCTCTCCCTCTTCACTCCGTTCACATCCCTCCCTCCCTCCTTTTCCCCTCCCCCCCCGCCTCCCATGTTCTCCTTACTTTTGGGCCATATCCAGGAGACTCACGTTCCCCGTTGTTCCCCGTTTACGAGTGTTCGTTTGTTCTCCTTTTGGGCTGTATCCAGGAGGCCCACGTGGCATGTAAAGTGCTTCAACGCTTTTGTCTCCCCACTCTGCTTCCTATTTTTCACTCCAACCCCTGCCTGCCCTTTCTACCACCCCCAACCCCTCCCGCCCTTCAGCCTCCCAGTGACAACGCCTTACCTCTGGGTCCGGTCCAGAAGACGCACGTGGCAGGCGAGGTGCTTCGGTGGGACGCCGAGGCTGAGCGGGTGGTTCGGGTGCCGGCAGTGGACTATGTGGAGCTGCTGGAGGGGGAGGTTCGGGCATTAAAGAGAAGATTGGAGGAGGAGGAGGCGAGACTGGCACGAGTGGGGGCCGGGGGAGGAGGCAGTGGGAATGCGCTTTTGGAATACCTCAAGAGATTGGAACCGCAGAATATACAGGTGAGCAGAGAACAGAGAGCATAGAGCAGAGAGCAGAGAGCAGGTGAGTGATGGTAGGGAGGTTGCTTACTCGGGGTGGGTTACAGTTGTGGACTATGTAGAGCTTCTAGAGGGGGAGGTTTGGGCGCTGAAGAGAAGATTGGAGGAGGAGGAGGCGAGACTGGCACGAGTGGGCAGGGGCAGGGGGAGGAGGGGGGGACGCGCTTCTGGAGTATTTGAAGGGACTGGAGCCGCAGAATATACAGGTGAGCAGAGAGCGAAGAGCAGGGAGCAGAGAGAAGGGAGCAGAGAGAAGGGAGCAGAGTGGAGGGAGCAGAGAGGAGGGAGCGGGGAGCAGTGAAGAGTTACAGCAGGTGCGGATGGCAATGCTCTGGCAGTGAGCCAACCTTTGAGTAGACTCAGCTTTTGAGCCGACTCAAAAGCAGAGTTACAGCAGGTGCGGGTGTCAATGCTCTGGCAGCGAGCCAAACCACCCTTTCCCACCCATCTTCACCTCCCCCTTCCTCTCCTCCTCCCCCTCCCGCATATTCCGCCCCTCACAGGAGCTGACAGCCAGTGCGGATGACGATGCTCTGGCAGGCAGTTTCTTTTCTGCCCCCCTCAATTCACGCCACACACATCACCCCACCCCTCCTACCACTCCGCTCATCCTCCTCCTCCCCCCACAGGAGCTGACAGCCAGTGCGGATGACGATGCGCTAGCAGCGAGATTCAATCTCCTGGCTTCTGAACCGTTTTCCCGGCCCTTCCCCCACTCCCCCTCCTGCATCTCCCTCCCCCCCCCCCCCCCCCCCCCCCCCCCTCTGCAGGAGCTGACAGCCAGTGCTGATGACGATGCGCTGGCAGCGAGATTCACACCATCTTCCTGCCCCTTTCTCCCCACACCCCCTCCCCTGTCCGCATCTTCCTCGCCTCACAGGAGCTGACAGCCAGTGCTGATGACGATGCACTGGCAGCCATGAATGCGTTCATCCAACGGCTGTTAGGCGTTCCTGATGTTGGGGAGATCAAGGTGAGGGGGGGCGAGATTAGGTTGAGATGGGAAGGCTCCAGGTTGGGAGAGGTGTGGGGGAGGGTTGGAAAAAGAGGTCCGGCATGGATGCATTTGTTTAAATCTGCCAGCCGTTACTCATGTTGGGGGGATCGTGATGAGAGGGATGGGGAGATGATATGGGGAAGGGGAGAGAGCAAGGTAAGAAGGGGAGTGAGGTCAAGATTCTAAAGGGGGAGATGAAGGTGACTAAGGTAAGGATGTGAGAAGGGGGGAGGTGAGGGTTGACAAAAGGGGGGACGATGGTGAAGGAGGTGTGTTGGGTAAGGCACGAATGGTTATTTCTTTGTGTGAATGTGTGGTGTGACAATTCGTGTGGTGTGATAATGTGTGTGGTTGCATGCTGTATGCGTGTGTGCTTGCGTATGGTGTGCCCTTGCGCATGTGTGTGGTTCGGCATTTGAGACTAGAGTGACCGAGCTGGCGAGTATGTTTTTGTGTTCATATCCATGTCCTCTCCATCGTTCCTTCTTCTATGTTCCTATGTTCCTTCTTATTTCTCACCATCTCCCTACAAACCCTACTCCCAGTCCGTGGCATCAGAGACTACAGTGACCGAGCTGGCAAAGCTGCTCTATTGGCTCATGGTGGTCGGCTACAGTCTGCGCACGTTAGAAGTTCGATTCGATATGGATAGAGCCCTTGCTGCACCTGCAGTGCAGAAGCGCGCCGAGCTCCCGCCCCCAGGCAATGACGGCTGGATCATATGAGTTGCTGTTGGAATAATAATGCAAGCACTCGTGCAAATGGCAGCATCTAATTGTCAATCTCATGTTTTCATATTGTCATGCGGTGTAATGATTATTTTGAGATTGTTCTGGACTGGAGCTTTACGTATTTGTAAACATATTGTTGGGAGGTGCACCACAATCCCTCGCTCAATATCTTCCTACTGTATCTCAAGTTTGTGTAGATGACATTCAAGCTGGGATGAAATAATTCTCCCTAGCTGAAGCCCTCAGTATCGAACACTAGGCAATACCGTGTTTCTGCGGTGGTTCCGTCGACCTCCTGCTCACCTTCCCCACCGTCAACCTCATCCTATCCGTTGGGAACAGTGCGACTCCAATCTACGGCCCTCCGGCTTTCCCTCCTCACTTCCACCCTCCACTGGCTATCGACTTACCTACGGAACAGCGTACACTCTCGGTCCAGCTCCTGTGATCTTATCACCACCACTTCCAGCCTGGCTATTGGTCGAGCTGCGTGGCTCTACCGCGTGGCCAGGCTCGCAGGCGAGCAGCGCCAGGCGATATGGTCTTTTCAAACTGTTACCTGACGAATTCGAGTTCGAAAATACTCTGCTGGCGAGATTCACCTAGTTGTGGACCAGGCTGTCGAGACCCCAACATCATCGAGCAATCAATGATCGATCCCGTTGAGTACGCTTTTTCCGTACAGCCTGTGTTAGCGAGAGTGTAACGGTGCTGCGTCGACCAGGAAATTAGGTTGATGAACCGAAGCACCACGGTAATGCTGTCTATCGGGTTAGAGTGGTCCTTCGTGCGATCAGCAAGTCAGCCTTCCGCAACACGCGGTTGACCGGTCATTCATTGCAATGTCGGTCTGTCGCATCGTGTCGGTGCGAGTAGCCAAGGCGATTCGGGACTGTCCCAGTCTCCAACGTGCCGCGT